CATGGGGTGGGGGAGAATGTTGGAGTTATGTTTGCTGCTATCGCAGTTGTTCATGGAGAGCGCAGTCAAAACGTTATTATCCAGGTTGCATCCTCCTCCTCCTCCTTCTGCTTCCTGTATATCTGATGGGAAGGGTCATCCCCGTGCTGAGGTTATGCAGACCACCATAAGTCATTAGATCTGCTCAGCTGAGTACTGCAAGGTTCCGTGAGGGTAGTACAGATATCTGTAGTTATTTTTCAGCAGGCTAATAGTCAGCTTTATCATATTTCTTTGGCAGCATGGCTTTTATTGACTGCTTCTCATCCAAGCGGGTTGCACATAGGAGTCATCAACCACATAGTTCCTGCCCCCCACTTGTCACACTTTGGTTTGTTGGGATGGTTCATATATAACTGGCATTGTGGATTGCAGAAGAATGAAGATATTCCAACTGCTACAAGGATATCAGACAATGTGCAGTCTCTTGTCACACACCATCTGGACAGTGAGAGTGTGGAGTCTCTTATGATACAGATATTGTGTAGAGTTGATAGGCAGTGCGCACAGAGAAATAGATGCATTGTCAATGGAAACCCACACTATAGGAAAGCCTGCAATTATATCAAAGCAGCATACTCACTTTGCCTGCTGCCTCTGCCAAGACAGCATAAAATGTAGTTAGTCATCCCTGAATAGAGAGCCTTAGTGATCTCCCTTAAGCAACAGTGGATGATGAGCTGTGAAATGATAAGAGTTTGAAAATGGTAATGTTAACGAGGGTCTGAATGTCTTTCTTCAGGAGTTTCTGAAAGTTAGCAAGCAGGCACAGCAATTAATCAGAAAGGCAAATGGTACATTGGTCTTTTTCACAAGTGGATTTGAGTACAGGAATAAAGATATCTTGCTTAAATTGTATCGAATCTTGTTGAGACCACATTTTGTGTAGTTTTGGTCTCCTTATTTGAGGAAGGAGATAGTTCCCATAGAGGGAGTACAATGGAAGTTCACCCAGACTGATTCCTGGGTTGTTTGGACAGTGCTATCAGCAGAGGTTGAGAAGACTGAGCCCGTACGCTCTAAGATTAGAAGAATGGGAGGCGATCTCATTGAAACTTACAAAATTCTTGAAATGATAAACAGGATAGATGCAGAGACTAGAGCCAGGGGATACAGTCTCAAAGTAAAATGTAACCCGTTTAGTAGTGAGATGAGGAGGATGTTTTTTGCTCAGAAGGTAGTGAATCTTTGGAATTCCCTGTCCCAGAGGACTGTTTAGCTCAGCCATTGAATATGTTTATTGAGATTGATAGATTTAGATACCAATAACGTCAAAAGATATTGGTGTTGTGTAGGAAAATGGTATTGAGGTAAATGATCAGTATTTATTTGTTCAGGTGGAGTGGGCTTGCGGATTTGAACAGCCCATTCCTGCT